AATCGTGGATCCAGCCGCCGAACCCGTGTCAGCCATTGCTTCAGGCACACAACAAAATATGTACAGTCAACAAGGGACAGTGGGAACAGGGCACAGTGGGCTTGTCGAATTTAAACACCGGCGGCAAGGTAGCACTGCAAAGTTCATCTGAATCTGTGTGAACATGCATCAAAGCAGGCAGACAGTGCAAGCTGATGCATGCATTTTGGGGGTTTAGGGATGACACTTTACCCGGCCTTGCCGTGGAGCCAATGCCGCGGCGCCGCTGCTGCAGGCGAGGACAGTGAACAGTCAACAGTGGACAGATGAACAGTGAACAGTGGACAGCAGCTTGGCTTTCGGACCTGCCAGGGGAGCATTCATGTGATGTTGCATAGTTATTGTAGGGCTCGGGTCTGAAGGCAAATGGTTTTCACAGTGAACAGCGAACATTGTGACATCATCCCTCCAAGTGCAACGCAACAGAAGCTCCTGGCTCAAGGCAACATTAGATCATTAGAGTATCCAGTAGTAGTGCTTCACCAGACCCCATGGCACCCAGAAAAAGACTAACCAGTTCACTGTCCTGCAGTTCACTGTCCACTGTGCCAGACGCAAAGGGCAAGTTGCAGAAAAGAAGGTCGAAGACACAGTCCACTGTGCAAGAAGCCAAGCGCAAGCCATGGAACAAAGGTAAAAAGCTGTCGAAGACAGACCTCCAGCATTTGTTCGTTCCCAGGGAAGACCTTTTGCTGTTCCTGGCAGTGAGCCTTTACTTTGCCGGGCCACGGTGTGTCATGGCATTATGGATCACGATGGTTACCTCCCGTCGAATTTCTGAGGCATTGCAACTTCGAGGTTCGGATGTTTTCCTGGATGGAGGGCACATGCAAGATGCTCCTCACATCTTGTTCCAAAAGCGGTAAGACAACAAAGACTTCCAAGGAATGGGCAAACTTGGGGCTGACTGCATCGCTGCTCGTCTTGCTCCGGATGTTGTCAGCACACTCAGGGAGGTGATGGACAAAGGTGTGCAGAGGTGTGTGCTGCCCCCACTTGAGCCCTTCAGGAAGTCCCACCCAGGCGTGTTTCAAGACTTTGCGCCACGCTCGTCCAAAGCCTTCTGCTGGCCCATTGGCAGAAGGTACATATTCCCAGCTCAAACCAAAAAAGCAAAGCAACCGTGGATGGCCAGGCAAACAGTGTGGAAAGCAGTGACCCATGTCGCGAAAGTGATGTTTGCACTCACCGGCCGCAGACGTTGGAATGTGAAATTCAAAGGCTCACATGTGACAGTGCATGGAGCTACTAGACACACTGCATCTGCCTTGTTGCTTGCAACCCCAGAGGGCGGTCAACGCGCCTCTGAGCATGTCATCATGGAAATCCAGCAGCGGCTCGACGTGGGAACCTTCAGGCGGCACTACTGCCATGCAAACGAGGAAGACGTGGCGGAGGCCCTTCAGCATGCATCAGTTGCAATATGCTTTGCTATGCCGAGCGATGATCCAGAAGCCATGTCACCAAAGCAAGACCCAGAACCTATCGCGCCTCCTTCGCCAAGTGCTAGTACGACTACTACTACTACGACCGTGTCCCCTGTGCACTGTCCACTGTCTACTGTTACAAAAGTCCCCGACTCCACGGCCTCAGCCGAGATGCCAAGCTCCCAGGACACTGTGAAGTCCCACGCGAGCAGGAATGCCTGGCGACATAAGAAGCGCAAGGCAGGCAAAAAAGCGTGGGCAGCACAGTCAGGCCCATGAAGTCTCACCTCATAGGGATGGCAACTACTCGTGATTCACAACATTCACAACACCCAAACATATTCTGAATTCCTGTGTTGAGGTGCATTGCCCCTGCATTTGGTTGGCCTAACCTGCCCCTTGCAGTTGGCTGGTCCGCAAGGGCCCCTGCCAGTTTGTGGTGGGTTGGGCCCATGCAGAGTGCTGGCGATGCAACCTGAGTTAGGCTATCCCTGCAAATGTGCCAAGCAAGCCCGCAGTCAATGCAACTGGCTACAGTACAGTGGACAATGCACAGCAAACAGTGAACAGTGAAAGGGGCGCGCGAGCAGGTGGTAGTATATTGGGTTTCACAGAAAGCATTCTATCTACTCTAGGGATGCGAATCAATGAATCAGGGCACCGTTACTTCGCATGAAGACATCTCTGGAACAAAACAAAGAACTCAAGTAACACGGTTATGTTTGACGCGACATGAAGTTATCCAATCATCATTCCTCGAAGCAGATCACACACAACCAAGCATTCAATGATGATGTTGTTGGCGGCCAGCACTTGTGGCTGGAGTTGGAGTAGTAGCCGCCATTTTGATAGCGGTTGAAATGATTTGAATAACCTACTCAATGCAGTAACCTTTCAGCTAAAAAGCACAAAGGAAGCCCTGATACATGTAACTTCAAAGCAACAGCACACTTGCAGAGTAAGCTGGAAGCCTGAATGATCTCAATGATTACCCCTAGGGTACATTAATCGACCGCCCCGCCCCCCCCCCCTCACCTGTCACACCAGGCGGTTCAATTTATGGTGTTAGTGTCGAGGGTGTTGGCAGCTGTGAATTTGTTGCTGATGGACATGAGCATACTGGTAACAAGTGCTGATCAGGGCACAAGCTTAAGACAATGAAAGATTTCGTCCAACCCACAAAACCTCTGAATCCTCCACATTGAAACATACCCCCAGAAAGCTAACCCTGAAAAGCCTATTTTCTGCACATGAAACTCTGTATTAGTAAACGTGCCCAGCCGGCCTGCAAGTCTCCAGTCACGGATGGCAGTGCTAACAAACAGTGGACAGTAGACAGTGGACAGTGGACAGTTATTAGGTCTAAAAGGGTATCGTGCCAAGGCAGGGCAAAAGGTGGGGAAAGGCGAATTAACCGGAGGAGGCGTCGGTTAATTCGCGACCTTTTTAATTGTGGGGGAGGGATTCGGGGCTTGCGGAGGGATTCGGGGCTTGCTAGGGGTGAAACTGAGGGATTCTAGGGGGTGAAGGCTAAGCTAGGAGTGTGCTGTTGTGCAGGTGCTGCTGTCATACCTCGACAAGCTCAGACGCTGTCACACACACTGTCCACTGTCCATTGTCAGCAGCAGCAGCCGCAGCAGTAGCAGCAGCAGTAGCAGCGAAGTGGCAGTGGTGGTAGTACTGCCAGAAGCAGTGGTAGTATTATAGGTAGTAGTAGTAGTACTAGTAGTAATAGTAATACTAGCAGTTGTAGTGGCAGTAGTAGCAGCAGCAGCAGTAGTGGTAGTGGTAGTAGTGGCAGAAGCAGCAGCAGTGTGGCAGTAGTAGTAGTGGTAGTAGTGGTAGTAGTAGTAGTGGTGGTAGTGGTAGTGGTAGTGGTAGCGGTAGTGGCAGTAGTAGTGATAGTGGTGGTAGTGGTAGTGGCATAAGCAACAGCGCGCGCGCATTAGGCAACAGCGCGCGCGCAGCGTGTGCGAGCACAGGCAATAGCGCGTGCGAGCACATGCAACAGTGCGCGCGCAGTGCGCGCGCAGCGGGGGCGAGCACATGCAACAGTGCGCGCGCAGTGTGTGCGCAGTGCGCGCGCAGCGTGGGCGAGCACAGGCAACAGTGCGCGCGCAGTGCGCGCGCAGCGTGGGTGAGCACAGGCAACAGCGCGCGCGCAGTGCGGGCGCAGTGCGCGCGCAGCGTGGGCGAGCACAGGCAACAGCGCGCGCGCGCAGTGCGCGCGCAGTGCGCGCGCAGCGTGGGTGAGCACAGGCAACAGTGCGCGCGCAGTGCGCGCGCAGCGTGGGTGAGCACAGGCAACAGTCCGCGCAGTGTGTGCGAGCACATGCAACAGTGCGCGCGCAGTGTGCGCGCAGTGCGCGCGCAGCTTGGGTGAGCAGGCAACGGTGCGCGCGCAGTGCGCGCGCAGTGCGTGCGCAGCGTGGGCGAGCACAGGCAACAGTGCGCGCGCAGTGCGCGCGCAGCGGGGGTGAGCACAGGCAACAGCGTGCGCAGTGTGTGCGAGCACAGGCAACAGCGCGCGCGCAGTGCGCGCGCAGTGCGCGCGCAGCGGGTGCGAGCACAGGCAACAGCGCGCGCGCAGTGCGCGCGCAGTGCGCGCGCAGCGGGTGCGAGCACATGCAACAGTGCGCGCGCAGCGTGGGTGAGCACAGGCAACAGCGCGCGCAGTGTGTGCGAGCACAGGCAACAGCGCGCGCGCAGTGTGCGCGCAGTGTGCGCGCAGTGTGCGCGCAGTGTGCGCGCAGTGCGCGCGCAGCGTGGGCGAGCACAGTCAACAGCGCGCGCGAGCACATGCACATTGGACAGGGGACAGTGTCGTTACTGCGACTATTACTAGTACTACGACGACTACTACTACCACTTTATACTGTACTACTACCACTACCATTTTCACTACCACTACCGCTACAACTACCATGACGACCACAACTACCACCTACCACTACTACCACTTCTACTACTACTACTACTACTACTACTGCTACTACTCCTGCTGCTGCTGCTACTACTCCTGCTGCTGCTGGTACTACCACTACTACTACTCCTGCTGCTGCTGCTACTACTACTACTACTACAGAGAACAGTGTCGTGTATATTCCCTCTGGCAACAATATATTCATGACATCGTTGATGAGCTTTCCCTGCCCCACCCCCATTCCAAGTTGCAATCTGTTCCGGCTGCTGCTGCTCCTGCATTTGCTGCTGTTGCTGTCCACTGTTCACTGTTCATGGTCTTCAATGCTCACTTTAAATCCTGCTTTCAAAGCCCCTTAATGCTCCCAAAACGAAAAGGTCAGAAGGTTAGATACCAACGAACGGAAGGTCAGTTGCTTTGAACAGGGATTCAAGGACGACGAGGCTTGGAAAAGCCAGAAGAGCTCCTCAGACTCCGAGGGGCTTAACTCGCACAAGCGGCCGAAAGGCTCTGGCACCACTTCGAAGACCCGCCAAGACAAAAGAAGGGGCAAGCAGTGGGATGCCCTGGAGAAAAGAGCTGCCGAGCACCAGCCAGACACGGTCGAAAGCATGAAGGCACACTTGGAAAAGTTGGCTAAAGCCGACCTTAAAATGAAGCAGCGGCTCGAGGAGCTCAAATACGAAGAGGAGCTTGGAAAAGCTAAGGCGAAGAAGGAGGCGGATGAGCTTGGAAAAGCTAATCCGCCATCGAGCTCCAGCAGCTCCGAGACCCCGCAAGGCAAGCCGCCAAAGCTGCCCAAAGTGGAGGAGACGAAGGAGGAGGAGGTCGAAGAGGAGGTGGACTGGGATGCCGACGAGGAGGACAAAGAGAAGCTTGGAAAAGCATCTCCTGCTCCGCAGCAGGGCAGGCAGGGCAAAAAAGGCTTTCGATCCACCGGTGAGGTCAAGCTGACACCAGGGAGAAAGCTGGTGCAGCTGGACTTTCACAACTGCTTGGAAAAGCAGGGGTCGATTCCCGCCGAAAACGTGGAGGCCCTGCACCGTCTGTGCGATCACACGGATGTGTACGTGTGTACGTACGTGACGACCTATAAAAGGGAGAAGGAAGTGACCCGCCAGCTCAAAGACTTGGAAAAGTCGATGCAGAAACGAAGCCCAGAGCTTCGCCTGAAGCTGGCGGTCACTTACGACAAGGTCGGCGAGCTTGGAAAAGCCGCCATTGCCGACTACAACTCGGCATCGTATTGCATAGACGATGCCTGGCGGGTGATTTCTGAATGCCTTGAGTACAAGGTCTGCGAGATGTGCTATGCAGTGCAGACTCCGGAGCAGAATCACTCCAAATTCCTGAAAAGGAAGGGGGTCAAGGTTGTCAAGGACTTCCCCGAGGCAGTCAATGACATCCTCGACCTCCTGCCGTAGCTTGGAAAAGCTATGGTCCGGAGAAGGCTTGGAAAAGCCCATGGAAGCAGGCACATCGGCTGGCTTGGAAAAGCCAGCCGAGTAGCAGACAGGTTCAGTGGCTTGGAAAAGCCGGCTTGGAAAAGCCAGTAGAGTAGGATCGCGAGCCCTAAGACGGGGCTTCGAAGTTGCTGCCCTGGCACCAGGTGTTTTATAGATATGTTAGCTGTTAGCATTATAGATGTGTATGTATAAAACATATAAGGGCTATAAGGGCTGGAAGCCTTAGAAGTGCATAGCTTGGAAAAGCACCGGTGCCAGGGCGGCAGGAGCTCTCTACCAGTGAGAGACACCCGAAAAAAAGCGCGGATTTGCAAGGGTTCTTGGGCTGGGGGTTTAGAGGCTTCGGGGTTTTTAGGTTTAAGGGTTTAGGGTTGAGGTTTTAGGGTTTAAGGTTTATAATAAGTTTTAGGGTTTACGGTTTAGGGTTTCGACTTTATGGTTTAGGGTTTCGGGTTTAGGTTTTTCAGCTGTATGGTTTCTGGGTTTGGTCTTGGCCACACCACCACTAGCACAACCACCACCACCACCACCACCACCACCACCACGACCACCACCACCACCACCACCACCAGCCACAACCATCACCGCCATCCACAACCACCACCACCAGCACAGACCATCACCGCAGGCCACAACCACACCACCAGCACCAGACGCCACACACCCAACCGACACCACCCACACCACACCCCCCAACACACCAACAACACCACACCCCACCCCACCCAACCACCCACCCACACACCATCCAGCACAGCAGAGAAGCAGCAGCACCACCACAAGAGCCACCAGCACCACCACCACCAGAAGAACCACCACCAATATATTTGAGGATTGCAACATATGAAGACTTGATTTTTTATATATTGGGGTTTAGGGTTTAGGATTTATATGTGTTTTCAATAATGTTTTGTATTTTTTTAGTTGTTGGAAACATTTTGTGTGGGACTTTAAAAGGAACGGAGGCTTGGAAAAGCCTTGCTGTAGCAGGCTTTTCCAAGCCTGCTACATGGCACAACGGTTGTGTGTTTGCACCTGGGATAGCAGCCACCACACACCTCCCACGATTTAAAAAAAAATCACTTAAAATTCAGATCTGATGAAATCTGATGAAATCTGATGAAATCTGATGAAATGTTAGATTTCATCAGATTTCATCAGATTTCATCAGATTTCATCAGATTTCATTTTTTATGATATTTTAGAAACTTTCTGAATACACAAAAACAAAACCTTTCCAAAGAATAAAAATCACGGCTACGAAACCACACCAAACCCAAACACCTGCAAACACCAGCACCTTAACCTTTAGACCACTGGGGCTGAAGGGTTACCGCCCCCACCGCCCCCCCCCCCCACCGACAGCACCAGCACCCGCACCACAGCCAGCACCACCCCCACCACTAAACCCACCGCCGCCACCACCAGCTGTACCAACACCACCACCACCAGCACCACCACCAGCACCACCACCACCACCACCACCACCACCACCACCACCACCACCACCACCACCACCACCACCACCAGCCACTACCCAGCAGCACCACCACGACCACCAGCACCAGCACCACCACCACCAAACCCAGCAAACCCAGCAAACCCAGCAAACCACGAAACCCACCACCACCACCACCACCACCACCACCACCACCACCACCACCACCACCACCACCACCACAATCAGCAGCAGCACCACCACCAGCAGCAGCAAACCCACGAAACCCACGAAAGCCACCAAACCCACGAAACCCACCACCATAACCACCACCAGCAGAACCCACCCCACTCAAAAGAAAAACGCCCAAACCTAATGCTACAACCCTCCCTCCTGAAAACCCCTAGCACCCCAAACCTAAAGGAATTATAAATACCCAAGCCCGCCAAACCCCAGACCCTTTAAATCCCCACCCCTATAAAGTGCATGAAGTTTTCTTTTTGTTTTCTCTATTTATATCTCTCTTCTTCTTACAACTATATATATATATATATATATACAGAGACACCAACATAATAGTTTTCTGCTGTTGCTTCTATTCTAATGCAGCATTTTCTATTTTCTGGCATGCACACAGAAACGGAATGTTGAAATTTGATATGCATATGTAGGTTTTATCTAGCAAAGCACCTTGGCGAAGCATGCATGGGCATTGTCATTCTCGAAAGCATGTTTGTATCCGCAGCCGCTTGCGAAATCAAAATCAGGGTGAGAAGTGGAGTTTTTAGAAAGTAGCAAGCCCGAGGCACTGAAGGATGCCTCCCAAAAAGACAGTGTTGAAGTCAGTTTTGAAGAACAAGGGTGCAGGCTTGGGAAAGCCAAAAGCAAAGGCGAAGGCCAAAGGCTTGGGAAAGCCAAAGGCAAAGGCAAAGGCCAAGGGTTTGGCAAAACTCAGGCTGAACAAGAAGAACCTGCAGAAGGTTCCCGAGGCTTGGAAAAGCTTGAAGGAGAAGGTGGAAGAGGCTGCCGCCGCCAGCGAGGACCCGCTGGTCCAGGCGGCGGTACTCAAAGAGTCCTTGACGGACAAGGAGGCGCAGAGCGCCTGGGGCAAGCACAAAACGTACCTGAAGAATGCACCGGAAGGCGAGCAGGCAGAGCATGCTTGGAAAAGCAAGAAAGAGAAAGGCTTGAGTGCGGCTCTGTTCCTGCTCCAAAGCGAGGGTAAGAAGTACATGGCCTCCAAGCAGGTCGTGGGCGCCTTGGAAAAGGTGAAGAAGAAGGACGCTTGGGAAAGCGAGAAAACCATGCTTACCAGATGGACGGAGCAAGAGCTGCAGGCTCACCTTGCCAGTGGCAGAGTGAGCTGGCGGCAGGACCCGAGCACCCCGGGAGTCTGGGAGTACAAGGACAATCAAAGAATTGTCCGTACTTCCGAAGGCACCCGGGGTGCCACTTGGGAAAGTGGGGTCGAAGGGGAACAGACCCCAGACAACTTGGAAAAGTTCCAGCAGCTGTACGGGGACGAGGCCATGGCCATGCCCAGCAGTGGCATGGTCAGCAGTTCCTTCAAAGGGCCTGGAAAGGGCGGCAGCAAGGGCTCGGGAAAGCCGGCCTTGAAGGGCAAGCCTGGCCAGCTTGCCCTGGAGGACGGGAAGGCAGACGACGAGGGCGAGGAGCCTTCGCTCGAGGAGCAAGTGGCGAAAGCAGAGGCCGCTGTTCGCAAGGCCATGAGCCAAGCCCACAAGTGCAAGACAGAGCTTGAAGAGACCTTGGAAAAGGTCAAAGGAACCCTGTCCAAGTCGAGGCTCGCCAAAAGCACGTGCTGGCTGGCAAGCTTGGAGAAGCAGGAGGGGGTGCTCAAGACGACCCTGAAGAAAAAGCAAGGGCTCGCTGCTCTGAAGAAGGTGTTGGAAACCACAGCCCAAGTGATCAAGCAGGCTCGAGACGAGCGAAAAGAGCTGCGACACCTGGAGAACAAGGCTCCAAGTGTTGCCAGCAGCAAGGGGAAGTGAGCCCTGGAAAGGGCCTCAGAGCTTGGAAAAGCTCGCCGCTGAAGGCTTCGGAAAGCTGTGCAGGCTCTATAAGCTTGGGAAAGCTTTCTGAGTAGCTTGAGTGGCTGCAGTTCCGAGTAGGCCCTTCCGTTTGCAGACTTAGCCTGCAGCCCTAGGTGCAGCAACAGCTTCGAGCACAGTCGTCTAGGCCATAGCTATAGCATAATATGCATGCAGTGCTACACAGCTTCGAAAGAATAAGCAACAACAACTTTTAAGGCAAGAAGCACCCTTAGGCCGGACTCTGAAGCGACAAGCACCGCCGCCGAAAAAAAACCTTTGCAGCCTTGTAGGACTCTTTTCTCCAGGGTATGTCTGTGTGCATGTTTTGTTCGAAAGCATGCATTGAAACTGCACGTCTGCAGACCTTTAGGTTCAAAGAAACAGCTGCTGCAGCAGTCGCCTGTGCAGTTTGGGATAGAAGCCGCCAGCTACATGTATCTATAGGCTCGGAAAAACCGAGGAAAGCCATGACCAAACGTTTGAGAGGCTGGAAGATGGACCAGGAGCTTGGAAAAGCTCAAAGAAAGAATAACGATGAATTGCCGGAGTTCGCCAAAGAAGCCTTGGAAAAGGACGAAGTAACCTCCAGCTTGGCCGCCAAGCTCCTCGCATTGTGGGCTCACGGGAAGCTCAGTGCGACCATGATTCGGGAGCTTGCTTCCTTGGCGGTGGTGGACGGTGCAAAGCACCCAGACCTTTTGGAGATTGCTCAGGCAGGCAACTGGGGCGAGCAGCCAGGCAACATTCACAAGCAGCTGATGCGAAGGTTTGTAAGGAATGTTGGCCTGGACGAAGCCTGCAAAGTTTCAATACGATGCCTTGACAACAAAGCCTGCTTGGGAAAGGACGAGGCATCCTTGGAAAAGGACCCCGAGAAACTATCCGTGGAAAAGGATGAGGAGGCACAGGTCTTCCTGCCACACCTGGTCTTTGCGAACTTGGGCGCCAACTACCCCGAGTTCTTCAAGAAAACCTTTAACTGCGACAGCTTGGGAAAGTTTTGGAAGCAGGTGGAAAAAAGCGGGGATAGCAAGCTAAATGCCCATCCCATGACCTTGGAAAAGGATTGGAGGGAGAAGACAGTGCCTTTGTTTTTACATGGCGATGGGGTGGAATTTCAAAGTAGAGACAGTCTGCTCACTTTCTCCTTCGGGGCTTTGGGTTGTGGCTTGAGCTCCCTGGAAACGAACCTGTACCTGGCATCGTTTCCCAAAAGCTGCGCCGCTCAAGGAACATGGGAGCCCATTGGGAAGGTGCTCAAGTGGAGCTTTGAAAGCCTTGGGAAAGGCTTCCACCCAGAAACAGATTACAACGGGCTGCCCTTGGAAAAAGGCAGCCCGTTGTACGAAAACAGGGGAAAACCCCTGCACCCAGATGGCTGGAAAGCCTATATCTGGGCCATCATAGGGGATCACGACTTCTTCGCCAACCATTTGAAGCTTGGCCATTGGGCCTCCCACTTCCCGTGCTGGGAATGTGATGCAGAGAACTGGAAAGGCTGCTGTTTGGAAAAACACTACAAGCAGATTAGCTTGGAAAAGCAAACCTTTCGAGTTTGGACACCTGCAGAGCATGCAGGTCACCCTGTATCCAACCATGCGCTTTTTCAGCTGCCCGGGGTCACAGCAGCCAACGTGAGGGGCGACCCCTTGCACATTCTCTTCACCAAGGGCTTGTACGGTCACCTCATAGGCGGCATTTTGCATTATGCTTGCTACTATGAGGGGCCCGGTGTGGTTGCCAAGAAGAAGCCTTGGGAAAGGCTGGCACTCATCTTCTCGCAAGTGCAAGCAGAGTACTCCGAGAATAAAGTTGCCTGCAGGCTGACAAACTTGAAGCTCAGCATGCTGTGCGACCCCAAAAATCCTTGGAAAAGGAGTGCAGATCTGGATTGCAAAGGAGGAGAGGCGAAGCATTTGTTGCCTTGCCTTGTGCCAGTCCTCAAGAGAATGTTTAGCTTGGAAAAGCCTCACGAGCAGAAAATGATCTCTGCAGCCAACTGCTTGGAAAAGCTGGTGGCTTTGTGGGACGAGGCAGGGCCAGTGCTCACAGACCAGGAGTTTTCCCGGTCTCTGAACCTTGGAAAAGGTTTCTTGGATGATTATTCGTGGCTGCATGACTGGTCCTTGGAAAAGGGGCGGAATTCCTTTGCAGTCGTGGCGAAGCACCACACTTTCATTCATCTGCTCTGGAATTCCAAATTCCTCAACCCCAGAATGCAGTGGTGCTTCAAATCCGAGGACTTCGTCGGACAACTGAGCCGCCTGGCCCACTCGATAAGCATGGGTGTCGCGAGCTCGAGGCTGTCGCTTAAAGTTGCGAACAAGTATCGAGTGTTGCTTCACCTTTTGATCCGCAGTGAGCGATTCCTTCTCACAAGCCAGAGCATCTGGGAAGACTGATGCGACTCTTACACACATTGGCAGACTCTTGGAAAAGATCTGCTGGCTTAGCGGCTTATAGCTCGGTAGGCAGCTGACTGTACTGGACGTTTTCGCAGCACGTGGTTCTCAAAACATATCAATATATTTTTAACTATATTGATTCGCATATTTATTTGTATATTGATGTGCATATTGATTTGTAGATTGATCTGTATATTGATTTTTACATATTGATCATGGATGGTCAAAGAATCAATATGACATATTGATTTCGCGAACCATCAAAATCAAGATATTGATTGTAATCAATATGGGATGCTGGGTAATTAGGAAAAAACCCAATTAGCTCGGCGACTTGTAACCCAGTTATAACCGACTACTAAGTCCCATGATCCTCCCAGTGGGGGGGGGAGGTGAGGGCGCGGAGGCGGTGCGGAGGGCGCTGAGGGCGCTCAGGGCGCTCAGAGCGCTGAGGGCGCTGAGGGCGCGGAGGGCGCGGAGGGCGCTGAGGGCGCTGAGGGCGCGGAGGGCGCTGAGGGATGCTGAGCGCGCTGAGGGAGGGATGCTGAGGGCGCGGAGGGTGAGCGCGCGCTGAGGGCGCGGAGGGCGCTGAGGGCGCTTATAGGGCGCTGAGGGCGCTGAGGGCGCGGAGGGCGCGGAGGGCGCTGAGGGCGCTAAGGGCGCGGAGGGCGCTGAGGCGCTGAGGGCGCTTTTGGGGCGCATTGGGCGCGCTATTGAGGGCGCCTGAAGGTGGCACGGAGGGAGGCAGGAGGGGGTGACGGGCGCTGAGGGCTGCGGAGGCGGGATGAGGGCGCTGACGGGCGCGCGACGGGGGTTGCCCCCCCCGTGAGGGCGCGAGCGCGCTGAGGGCTGAGGGACGCGAGGGACATGAGGGCTTTTTTCCCAGCTGAGGGATGCTCGAGCGGTGGAGGTCGAGATGAGCGCGCGATCGAGGGGCGCCATGACGGGCGATCGAGGGCGCTTATAGGGCCTGAGGGCGGGAGGCGTGCTTGTTAGGGCCGGAGGCGGCGGAGGGCGTCTGAGGCGCTACGGGCGCGAGGGCAAGCTGAGGGAGCTGGGGCGAGGAGGCAGCGTGAACCACGGGGGCGGAGTGCGCTGAGGGCGCTGCGGCGACGAGATGGACAGCGGCGCGCGACAGGGTGCAGAGGGGTGGCGGCAGGGGCGTGAGGGCGCTCAGCGGCGCTCAGAGCGCTACCGAGGTGCTGCGGAGGGCAGCTGAGCGCCCGCACCCGAGGGAGACTCCCCCCCGACGGCGTGGGAGGGCGCTGAGGGCGCTTATATACGGCGCTGGGGCGCTGAGGGCGCGGAGGGCGCTGAAGGCGCGGAGGGCGCGGGGGCGCTGAGGGCGCGGAGGGCGAGGCGCGGAGGGCGCGGCGCGGACTTAGTGAGCCCCTGCATTTGGTTGGACTTATAAGCACTTAGCTGGACTTAGACAGCTAAGTGGGGCTAAGTCAGACTAAGTAGAACTAAGTTTTTTTAGTCGTAAAATGGAGTTTTCGGTTTCGAATCTCAAATGTCAGTATTTTTAACTTGTAACCTTGTCAACACCAACGAAACCAAGGTTCATATCTTCTTGTGTGCTGATGCCTAAGGTCTAAAGTTGCAGGCATGGCTTAGTACATCATCTTCCCCTCAAAACACAAGGTTAACTTGCGTAGTAAAGCCGACACCAGGCAACACGAAGCGATCCTTTTTTTGAATGCATTCCATTATCCTGGATTTCTGATGTAAGCCTAGTGTGCTTTGACTGTCTTCAGACCTTGAGCAGATTCTGGCCTTGCCAGCAACTAAGGTGCAGCGGTTTAGTATTGGCCCTGCAATCCCAGCTTCAGAGGCCAGTACCACCTTCACTCCACCTTCGCTCCACCTTCGCTCTAGCCCAGTCTAGAGCGAGCCTACCACCTTCACCACCTTCGCTATCCCGGCCTAGCTAAGCTAAGATTAGGTAGTCCACCTTCGCCACCTTCGCCATAAGTTTAAGGAGAAGGGGACCACCTTCACCACCTTCGCTGACAATTCGCAGGCCCGGGTACCACCTTCACCACCTTCACCTTCACTACAAGATCTGTGTCCCAGCATACCACCTTCACTCCACCTTCGCTCCACCTTCAACCTAAAGCCAACAGTTTTCCTCGACACTGCACTGCTCAGGTGGCCTGCGCGAGCAGTTTCTTCTATCCAGTCTTGCTTCTGGCACAGCTCGCACTTTGAAGGCCCATACCAAGCGCTCGCAGCTTCAAGGGGACTGTGTCCGTGTTTGCGGGTGCTGCATGCTGTTGCCGACGCAAGTTCGGCGCACTCGGCAAGGCCGCCACTTGCTTCAAAAAGCTCTGTGCCCCTTGCACCTGCTTCAGAACAGCTGCCATCACCACAGCAGAGGCAAAAGTCCGGCTGGATTGAGCCAATACATCCACGGAATGTAGGTTATTTCTATAAAACTCGTTCACTCATTATTTTCTGCAAAAATTGCTTTTTTATGTCTATGAAAGATTTTCTATCCTGATATCCTTAAAAACCTAAGTCAGGCTAAGTCAAACTATCTTCGTCTTCGGC